AGATCCAACATGTTAGCTGTTCATGTGACTGAAGGCTTGTCCTTGGCATACCTCCTTTGTTACCTCATTTAAAAAAGAAGTCCTGGCTCAAGCCACATACACCTGAGCTAGCAGGTTCAAATCCAGCCTGGGCCCGCCAAACAACAATGACAGCTGCAACCAAAAAAAATAGCCGGGCATTGTGGCAGGTGCCTGTAATCCCAGCTTCTTGGGAGGCGGAGGCAGGTGAATCGCTTGAGCCCAGGAGTTGGAGGTTGCTATGAGCTATGACGTCATGGCACTCTACCCAGAGTGACAGCTTGAGGCTCAAAAAAAAATAAAAATAAAAAAGAAGTCCTTCCCCACCTCCTTCTTGTGACCTGGATCTGAGTGTTACTGTTGTGTGTCTGGAAGGGACAAGCACAAAAAGAGAACAAGTGTTTGCTCTCCTGAGACACATTTGAAACATGAGATAAAATGGAAATGGTCATTCCCAGGGAGGGTTGGCTCTGGGAGGTCCTTCATCCCACAGGGTGTTAGGAGCCTCTTTTTTAGAAGAAATAGAACTTACTCTCTGGCCCTCTCTCTCTTAGGGACTCCCAGAGCCATTTTGGGGAGCCCTAGGCATAGCTCAGCTCTTCTGGCCTCCTGGGCTCTAGTGCATTCAGCCAGTGCCTACACGGGCTGGGAGTTGCAGCCGTTATTCTGGCTTCTGTTCCACTTTTGAGGAGACATTTCAGGTGTCCATATAACTTGAAACGCTTAGTTTCTCTTTCCAAGCTCCTTGCTTTGTTTTAGGTTTATGCTCTCCTTTATTTTGTTTAACTTTATAGAGAGCTAGTACTGCCACTGCAGAGGGGGTAGACGGCAGGCAATTTGCAAATCACAGTGACTTGGGGTAGGTGGACTTTCTAAGGATGGGTTTGTTTTCTCTGTAGGAGATAAATGGCATCACTGCAGCACTGGCCGAAGAGCTCTTTGAAAAAGGTATGCAGCCACAGGTTCTTGAAATATTTGGCACAACTTGCCTAGTCCTATGAGGTAGCTAGAGGCCCAGAGTGGCACAGAACTCAGTTTGTTAAGCTATGCCAAGTGAGTGCTAGTGGGGGACCTCTCCTTGAACTTGCTCAAATCTCTGGACCTGGACTATAGCCAAGTCTGCTTACCTACCTACCTGTAGCCAGGTCTGAAGACTTGGTCCTTTACTTTAAGACTCCCAAGTGCCTATGATGGGGTGTTGGAAGGTGAATGGCATGCTGCCCTCTTGTAGATGTCTAGGGTAGCCTGTGTCCAGTGTGCACTCAGCAGGCAGCCCCCCTCCCCCACATGTGCAGGGCTATGGATTTGCCCTGATGCAGTTTGGGTATACATAAGATATGCTTGCTATGTGCCTGTTGACTGTTGGCCTGGCAGGCAGATGCCCTGGCTGCATGAGGGCAGGGGCTAGGGCTGGTACACATCCTTCAGGGCATGGCTGTTGCAGGAGAACAGCTTCTGGGGGCCGGTGAAGTCTTCGCCATCGGGCCCTTGCAGCTCTATGCGGTCACTGAGCAGCTGCAGCAGGGAAAGCCCACATGCACCAGTGGAGATGCCAAGACCGACCTTGGGCACATCCTGGACTTCGCCTGTCGCCTTAAGTACCTTAAGGTAAAGCTGTAGCATCTCAGCTGTGGAGAACCTCAGATGGGGCAGGGGTACAGCCCGCAGCACAGGGCCTGACAACTCACTGCTGGAGGCGGCCACCTGTTCTTGGCACTGTGCTGCTGGCTACGGACACCAGGGGGCAGTCATAACCAATGTCCATTAACTTCAAACCTTGAACTTAATTAAGGCTCAGGCTTGTCAGCTGCTGCAGCACTGCCCAATGCATGTGCCAATGGGGGTGGTTGCAAAGGCATCCCTGACTCAAGCCACTTCTTTGGCTTCAGGTTTCCGGCACAGAAGGACCTTTTGGGACCAGCAACATTCAGGAGCAGCTTCTGCCATTTGATCTGTCAATATTCAAGGCCCTTCATCAGGTGGAGGTAAGGCTCAGGGCCACTGGAATGCAGGCAGGGCCCCCTGCATGGGCATCCTCTCGCTCTGACTCTGCCTAGTAAGTGTTTGTGATATCAATGTCCAGATTTAGTTGTAAGGCACTGTTGCTTTCACATTTGGTACCAAGTGGCAGATTCTGGGTAGGTAACCCAGGTCCCCTGCAGGCAGAGAAATTGGGCTATTCTGTCCTTGGCTGATCTGCATATCTCTGCCCAGGCCTGGGTAGGGATAGTTAGACAGGGCAGGGGGAGCAGATCGTTCAGATCAAAGTCATCCTGAGAACCAATTCTAAATCTCTGTTTGCCCAGGCAGAGCCACAAAGGACTTTAAGGGTTCCCTGCCCCCAGGGGTGTCGCCCTTAACAAGAAATACTTCGCATTACTCACTATTGATTCTTGGTTCTCAATGCTTATTTTATTTTATTTATTTATTTTGAGACAGAGTCTCACAATGTCGCCCTTGGTAGAGTGCTGTGGCATCACAGCTCACAGCAACCTCAAACTCTTGGGCTTAAGCAATTCTCTTGCCTCAGCCTCCCAAGCAGCTGGAACTACAGGCACCTGCCACAACACCTGGCTGTTTTTTGTTGAGGTTGTCATCATTGTTGTTTAGCTAGCCCAGGCAGAGTTCAGATCCGCCAGCCTCCATGTATGTGGCTGGCACCATAACCACTGTGCTACGGGCACTGAGCCATTATTACCATTTTTTAAAAGAAAGAGGAGTTAATAATGAATACCAACAGATGTTTTAAAGCATATGTGTTTTGAGCATGGCTTTATGTTCTGTACTGTGCCCCATGTTCTCCTTCATTGAATCTTCACAACAGCCCTGTGAAGAGAGCACTTTTATTCCCATTTTACAGTTGAAGAAACTGAGGCTTGGGGAGATAAGGACAGTTACTGAGGGGAAAGCTAAGATTTGAATTCAGCTGAGTCTGGCTCTAGAGCCTCTGCTACCCATTGGGCTATTCTGCCTACAACATTCTAGGTTTGTCCCAGAAACCTTGAGACCACTCCCCTTGATGGAAACTTATGCTGTGCCTGGACCACTGCAGGCTGAGTGAAGACTGGGAAGTGAGAGGAAAGCCCAGCCCAGCCCCTGCTCACCAGGCGGAGGCTCTGTAGATTTGGGTTTATAGGTGGGTGGGTGGTGCTTGAGCAGGTGGCTCTGTGGAGTGCGCTTTGGCTGTACCACTTCTTCCTCACCGCAGGACAGCTGAGGTGGGCTGGAGGTTGGGCAAGCAGGAGAGGCCACCACACTCACTGCATTATGGAGGCGCTTGCTCTCCAGCTCTAGTTTCTATGACCCACACCTTCTGTCTACCTAACAAGCCCCAAGCAGCTCTTACAAAGAAATGGAATTTGTGGTTCATTGTGAGTGTGAGAAATTAGGTGCCTTTCTCGCTGGATACTTCAGAGAATGTTTGGTCACCACTGCACATCAGGAAAAAGAGACAGATTTGGAGTCGCCTGCTATCTCTAGGGATTCAGGCTTGCCTATTATTCTGCTTTGTGTGTGGGTGATGACCACCCACTTTCTGGTGCTTTTGATAAAGCAAGGATACCACTTCTGAGACACAGCTTTTCCTTGTTCCAGATAAGTCACTGTGATGCTAAGCACATCCGAGGGCTGGTGGCATCAAAGCCTACCTTAGCCACCATGAGTGTCCGCTTCTCAGCAACCTCAATGAAGGTAAGCTTCACCTGTTTCCTGCCTGGGGCACCTGTCTTTGGGGCAGGGTCCCAGCCTGTAGTCCCTCCCACAGAGGACGGATATGGACACTTAGATGTCTATCAGGACTCAGAGGCCAGACATTCCCTGTGGTAGCCACACACTCATGTGGGACCTTGCAGCACTTGACAGATCCCAGGACATGTTAGTTCCTATCTTTATCAAAAATCAATGTTGTTGGCCCTGGGGTGGTTTATACCTGTAATCCCAGCACTTTGGGAGGCTGAGACAGGAGAATAGCTTGAGGCAAGGAGTTCAAGACCAGCCTGGGCAATATAACAAGACCCCATCTCTAAAATAATGTTTAAAGTTAGCTGTGCATAGTACTGCACCTTTAGTTCCATCTATCTGGGGGGCTGAGACAGAAGAGTCACTCGAGTGCAGGCATTCAAGGCTGTAGTGAGCTATAATCAATCACCCACTGCATTCCAGCCTGGGTAACAGAGACCCTGTCTCTCACTCTCTCTCTCTTTTTTTTTTTTGAGACAGTCTCACTCTATCACTCTGGGTAGAGTGCCATGGCATCATCATAGGTCATAGTAACTTCAAACTCCTGGGCTCAAGCAATTCTTCTGCCTTAGCCTTCTGAGTAGCTCAAACTTTGGGCACCTATGATAATGCCTGACTAACTTTTCTTTTTTTGCAGTTTTTGGCCAGGGCTGGGTTTGAACCCTCCACCTCCGGCATATGGGGCCAGCACCCTACTCCTTGAGCCACAGGCACCGCCCTAACTTTTCTTTTTTTAATAGAGATAGGGTCCCACTCTTGCTTTGGTTAGTCTCGAACTCCTGAGCTCAAGTAAGATGCCTGTCTCAGCCTCCCGGAGTACTAGGACTCCAGGTTAGAGCCACTGTACCCAATGAGGCCTTGTTGGGTTTTTGTTTTGTTTTGTTTTGTTTTGTTTTGAGACAGAGCCTCAAGCTGTTGCCCTTGGTATCACAGCTCATGACAGCCTTCAACTCCTGGCTTAAACGATTCTCTTGCATCAGCCTCCCAAGTAGCTGGGACTACAGGCATCCACCACAATGCCCGGCTATGTTTTGATTGTAATTGCCATTGTTGTTTGGCAGGCCTGGGTTGGATTCAAACCCACCAGCTACAGTGTATGTGGCTGGCGCCCTAGCTGCTTGAGTTACAGACGCCGAGCCGAGACCCTGTCTCTTAAAAGAAAAAAGGAAAATCAATGTTGTTAATAAGACATTTTAGGAAACTGGATTTTTCTCCCCCAAATAAAATATCACTGGTTTTTAGTTAACAAATTATTCAACTGTAGTAAGTGACAGGACCTGTATTAGCTAGATTGATACCACCATTTCTCTACCCCTAACAAACCCTGGCTTAGCAATCATCTATCTTGTTTTCCATGGACTTGAAGTAGAAGTACTAGGTCCTGTTGTTTGTATGTGAGCAACAGAAACATTTGAATTGGGAATGTAGGAGGTTTCTTTCTTTTATGAGTTATACCTTGGTAATGTTAAAATCCTTCCCAGGCATAGAAAAAGCATGTAATGAGGCTGGGTGTAGTGGCTCACACCTGTAATCCTAGCACTCTGGGAGGCTGAGGCAGGTGGATTGCGTGAGCCCATGGGTTTAAAACCAGCCTGAGCCAGAGCAAGACTTTGTCTCTAAAAAGAGCTGGGCATTGTGGTGGGGTGCCCATAGTCCCAGCTAATTGGGAGGCTGAGGCAAAAGAATTGCTTAAGCCCAAGAGTTTGAGGTTGCTATGAGCTGTGATGGCATAGCACTTTACTGAGGGTGACAAAGTGAGACTCTGTCTCACAGAAAGAAAGAAAGAAAGAAAAAGCATACGATGGCTTATTTTGTGATTTAAGGTATTTGATCAATATTTGGTGAAGTTTCTGTCTTATAGATAGAGCAAGGGCATTGACCATCTTGTCTTCCTGAGTCTCTCCTTGCTGCCTGGCTGAAGGAGGTCAAGATCCATCACAGGAGGAGAGGTCTTGTGGACATCAAAGCCTAAATGAGGCAGCCTGGCTCGGCGCCTATAGCTCAACTGGCTAAGGCGCCAGCCACGTACACCTAAGGTGGCGGGTTCGAATCCCCAGCCCGGACCCGCCAAAACAACAATGATGGCTGCAACCAAAAAATAGCCGGGCGTTGTGGCGGGCGCCTGTGGTCCCAGCTACTTGGGAGGTGGAGGCAGGAGACTCGCTGGAGCCCGGGAGTTGGAGGTTGCTGTGAGCTGTAACGCCACGGCACTCTACCCAGGGGGACAGCTTGAGGCTCTGTCTCAAAAAAAAAAAAAAAAATGAGGCAGCCTATCTCCCTCCCTTCAGTGGTCTCTGGGCTCCATGTAGCTACCCTGGTTTTAGCTGTTGACTTTATCCCTGTGAAGGAACAATAAAAAGGGCCCACTGTCCAGAGTGAGGACCACATAGTCAGCTTGGAAGTCTTAGTTAGTTGCCTGGAAACACCATGAATTCTGACCATCAGCTTCTGAGATTTATGCCAGAGCAGCCATTAGCGTATAGTAAAGGCCCTTGTAGGCTTGAAAAGCATTTGCTCCTGAAGCAGGGCCAGAACATATTCTAAGTGGCTGTTGTGCGGCTGAGCTTTTCAGTTATTTCACAATCATTTAAAGACATACAAAAAGCCCCATTTTAATGCAAGTTCACTTCCACATGCTAAATATGCTCCAGCCCTTCCTTTAATTTTGCAAGATTGTATTCCCAGTGAGTATTGCGTGAGGGCCTGAGTATGGTGCTCAACAGATGTTCTTACGCAGGAAGTCCTTGTTCCTGAAGCTTTGGAATTTGATGAGTGGGAGCCAGAAGGCACAGCCCTGGAAGGCCCTGTGACTGCTGTCATCCCCACTTGGCAAGCACTGACCACTCTTGATCTGAGCCACAACAGCATCTCTGAGATCGACGAGTCTGTGGTATGCTCTCAGGGGAGGGATGCTAGGGCCTTCTCTGGCCTAACCAAACCCTGAGATTGGGTGTTTGCCTTGGTTTTTCATTGAAGGACCACAGAAAACCTGTATCCAGTGTTCTGTGCATTGCCTGTAACTTTTAAGTTAATCTCAAAATGGGACTACTTAAAATTTAGTAAAGTACTCCTTGCAAGCAAATACAGCATATTAATTGCATATACTTTATAGTACTTTTGATATAGTAGAACAATAGTAAGTGATGACATTTGATCCCAAGGAGTAGAGCAAAAAACCACTCCAAAGATGACAAATGTGCCCATGTGAGAGTGATATCCAGAGGGTATTTGGGCAGTGAAAGTGTGGTTCCTATATTTGTACTGCTCAGTAGGTGTGGGCAGGATTGACGTAAAGATTGCCTTTTCTGTTTGGGACCTTGCTATGTGTCATTTTCATCAGCCAAATGTTCTGTAAACAGTGGGTAGCACCCAACGTTCTTTCAGATGTGTTGTGGGGACAGACAGCTGGAGTCTATGATCAGGAGTGAGAGTCTTGGGCTGTCCCTCCACTGTGTGCGGGGACTGTGTAGGGTCCAGCCTCCTCGAGTAACATCGGATGTTCTTTTCTTTCATAAGAAACTAATCCCGAAGATTGAGTTCCTGGACCTGAGTCACAATGGATTGCTGATTGTGGATAATCTGCAGGTATTGTTTTTGGAGACGAGCACTACTTGTAGGTGCTTCCAAGTCCTGCTATGCGGGTTCAGGAGGCTGTCACAGCCTTGGGAAATTGGCCATGCCCAGGAGTTTATAAGGGCAGGGGCTGCCCCCACTGTTAAGGTCCCAGTGATCTACTGAGTGATTGTTGCTCTAGTTCCAAAGAATTAGAAAAGATGAAAAGATGAGTAAATACAAACCGTGTGTGTGGTGATGTAACTCTTTTCTGGAGATGTGCAGCCTTGTTTTCCGTGTCTACCCCAGCCTGTCTATAGGGATACACCTGTACTGTGGCATGTGCAGGGGAGAAATGGGGCTTCCCTTCCCAGCAACCATCAAGGAGACTTGCGGAATTGGGTGGCTTGGGTTGGAGGGCCCATTGTGCCATTGGCACCAATTTCTTTTCTTTGGAGGCTTGACCCGAGCCATTTTGCCCTGTTCCCTATGTTGCTGCAGCACCTGTACAACCTTGTGCACCTGGACCTGTCCTACAACAAGCTGTCCTCCTTAGAAGGGGTTCACACCAAGTTGGGCAACATCAAGACCCTGAACCTGGCGGGCAACCTCCTGGAGAGTTTGAGTGGCCTGCACAAGCTCTACTCCCTGGTCAGCCTGGACCTCAGCAGCAACAGGATTGAGCAGGTGAGCCGCGTCACAGGAGGGTCTCAGGCGCGTGGGATTTCTGTGCCTTGCTGTTTATCACTTTAAAAAAGAATGTTAAGATTCCTTTCATTTAAAAAGAGACCATCAAACATATTCGTGTGTTGCTGAAGTGGGAGAGAAGGGACCAAAGAGAATGGAACTCGTGCCTTGCAGATGGAGGAGGTCAGGAGCATAGGCAGCCTCCCATGTCTGGAGAACGTGGCTCTGCTGAACAACCCTCTGAGCATCATCCCTGACTACCGGACCAAGGTGCTCGCTCAGTTTGGAGAGAGGGCCTCTGAGGTAAGCCCCTGCCACAGTCACCCAGGGAGATAGGGTGTAGAGTATGAGGAGGCCTGTTGTTTGCCTGTTTCAGAAGGACACCTGGCCCTCGAAGGCCTTTCAGTTCTGGGAAGTCATTTGTCCCCAGGAAAAAGCTCCCTTGCACATCCTACCCCTTTGGCTAACAGGATGCCGCTATCAGGGCCATGGGCCAGGAGGACTCCCCACAAGCAAAGAGGCACAATTCTGTGGAAGTCCTGTCTTCAACTTTTAACAAATAGCATTGTTTATCCTAGGCAAAGGACAGAAATGAGATACTTGAGATTATCTTGTTTCCTGGACAGCTTGTAGCCAGTGTCTGACTGCAAACCTAAATGGTTTGCTTCTACCAGCATAGCCCAGTCTGCTGCCTGCTGCCACTGGCTGTGTGTGTCCACCTGTCATCAAGCCGGGTCCACTGTCTCCTCAGCCTTGAGCTGTTCCCCTCCCTTATCCCTCTCCCAACAGGCCCTTGGAGCCTCTGTTTTCCCCAGATCCCAGAGAAGAGGATATCTGGGAGTCTATTTGCATCCTACACCCTCTTTTCTGCCCTAAGAGCCCTTTTCTCCACACTGTCATCAAGATAGTCTTCATAAGATGCCATCTCCTAGGCTGGGCATGGTGGCTCACGCCTATAATCCCAGCACTTGGGAGGCCAAGGTGGGTGGATTGCCTGAGCTCACTAGTTCAAGACCAGCCTGAGCCAGAGCAAGACCTCATCTATAAAAATAGCCGAGTGTGCCAGGCGTTGTGGAAGGTGCCTGTAGTCCCAGCTACTGGGGAGGCTGAGGCAAGAGAATCTCTTAAGCCCAGGAGTCTGAGGTTGCTGTGAGCTATGATCTCACAGCACTCTACCAAGGGGGTGACAAAGTGAGATTCTGTCTCAAAAAAAAAAAAAAATTCCATGTCCTCCTCTTCTCCTGGGTTCCAGATGCTTTGGAGGCTCTCAGGCCACAGGGTATCACCTTCTGTCCAGGCCCTTGGATCCTTCCCTTGTTCAACCATACTGCCCCCTTGACTACCAGCTAGCTAGCCCATGAGTCCCTGCTCTTTCCCGCCACTCTCTGCTTTTACCTTCCGGTTCCTCTGCCCAGAAGGCTCTCCCCACAATCTTTGACAATCTGCATTCTGCCTGTAACCAGAGGCATAGTTTCAAGTCATCCCCTTCCACTCCCAGCCACCCAAGAGGCTGCTGCCTACCCTTCTTGGAGGGAGACTCTCTGAGGTAGACTAGGCAGAGTGGGACCTCCTTGGGTCTCTAAGGCACTGCCAGCTCAATTCTGTGTGTGTAAGGAGCTTCCCAGCACACTGAGCCTGCAGGCTTCTCATGAAGCCTGGCCCACAGCAGTGCTTGTGCCCATGCAGTAGGGCCCCACCATCTTCCCACCATACTTGCTGGTCCTTGTGCTGGTAGCCACTTTCTGGACTCTCTCTAGGTGTGTCTGGATGACACAGTGACCACAGAGAAGGAGCTGGACACTGTGGAAGTACTGAAAGCAATTCAGAAAGCCAAGGAGGTCAAGTCCAAACTGAGCAACCCAGAGAAGAAGGTGGGTGTTTATGGGGGCAGTGGAGGGGTAGGCTTTTGGATTGCTCAGGACCACTGAGTCCCAGCTGCTCCACTCCCTGGCTGCATGACCTTGGGCAAGTCACAGTCTCTGACCTCATCTGTGGGGTCAAGAGGAGACCCCACAGATAGTACCTACTGTCAGGATTAGGTGACACATCTTCAGCCTCACCTGTTACGAGAACCGTTGAGCTCCTCTCTCTTCACATCCCTAGCCTTGTCAAGTTCTCTTCTTCCTAAGCTATCTCTTCTCTCCTGGTTGACTTGAGCACTCCTCCTCAGGTTGGTGAGGATTCCCGGCTCTCAGCTTCCCCCGGTGTCAGACCCAGCAGCTCCCCTCCCACTGTGGCTCCCACCTCTGCCTCCCTGCCTCAGCCCATCCTCTCCAACCAAGGTAATCTTACATGGATCTTGCTCCTAGTGGAGCACACAGCCCTGTCTGGGCCCCTTGGCTGGGGTTGGGGGAGATGTCCACACCTGCTTCCTCTGCAGGGCCAGACACAGGGAGGGCAGTGCCGTCTACACGTTGGCTCCTCTGAGGGACACATGGTAGGGAGTGCCCAGCCTGATTTCAGTTCTGTTGTATGCTTGATGAAGACTCACAATTGCTCTGATGCCCACATCCAGTTCCTCTAGGATCCCATGGGGTGTCCAATGGGCCCTGAGGCTGCCCTGTGAACAGGCTTGGGGCTGTTGGCTCATGGGACCTGTTCCCTGCTGGCAGCACGGACAAGTTGGCTCCTTGTTAATGGGAAGCCAGGCCTTGTTACTTTATTGAGTCTGGAGCCCTGATCCCTGCGTGGAGAGCTTTCTTTTATCATTGCCTTATCCCTGTAGCTCTCATGGTATGACCCAGCCCCAAAATACAGTGTTTGTGGGTCTGAGATGGGCTGTGTGTCCCTGTGGACCCATGGAAGACCAGTCCTTTTCATCTGCCCACTATCTAAGCGTTTTCAAAGGGCTTTCACCTCTGAACCCAGGCATCCTCGGAGATGAGTGAGTGAAGCAGGTCCCATGAGCGTGTCTGCTGGCCCAGCCCCCACGGAAGAAGGGAGGGTGTGCCGTCCCGAGTGGAGCCGAGGCTCGGGACACACAGGAAAGAACGCCGCCTGCCCAGGCTCCTGGAGACGCAGAACTTGGTGTGAGGTCTTGGGAAAACATTTTGACCCTATGCTTTAAGAGCCAGAAAACATTTCTACCCCTTGACCTGGTAACCCCACTGGTGGGGATTTTCTCTTAGAGGGATAAAGTACCGGGGATGGGGAGGTGAAATGCTCACTGCTGCCAGAACACGGGCAGTGCTCAAACAGGGGTGGAGAGGGAGAGTCAGCTATGGTACAGATGCCCTGCAGCCATCCCAGCAGGGAGAGGAGGACTTGGCAGGAAAAGAGACAAGTGCTCACATTTAGGCAGAAGGTCTGATGCCAAGCAGCATGCCAAGGTTGTGACCGTGAGATGCAGAAGAGCATTTATGAGCATGGAACGGTGGGTTAGATGCCAGAGTGACTGCCCTTTTTGCTTTTGTCAGGCTCTTTATATATATATATATATATATACACACACACATATATATATGTATATGTATTTTTTTGTAGAGACAGGGTCTCTCTAAGTTGCCCAGGCTGATCTGAAATGGTATCAAGTGATCCTCCTGCCTCAGCCTCCCAAAGTGCTAGGATTAAAAGTGCCCAGCTTTTTGTGAAACTCTTGACTTGAAAATTTTTTGGTTTTTTTTTTTTTTTACATAAAAGGGGAAGAGGGTTGCATTGCTGTGAGGAAGCTCTTCTGACCCCTGACCCTGCCTCCTGTAGCTGGGCCAAGCTCCTCTCTGGGCCCCACATCACTGGTGACCCTGTGGAGGAGCCATGGGATGGTAGGCTTCTGGAAATAGGGAGATAAATCTGGTCCCTGAGGCCAGGGATGCAGTGGTTCCTTCAGCATTTGCTGGTGAGTGAAGGAGCAAGCAGAGACTGAGCTGACAGTGGGCAGGGTAAGGTATCCCCAAGCCTGCAGCTGCAGGCAGCTCCCTACTCTGGCAGGGAAGCCTCAGCACCAGCCTTAGCTCCCTCTTCCTCACTGCCCTCCATGCCCTGGGGACACTCCACAGAGTGGCACTCTGTCGTCTGTTCCCCCCACCCCTAGTCACTGGACTCCTAGACGCTGTCTCCAGTATTGCACCTCTTATAAATAAAACCGTAGTGGATGTCTTTGTGTGCGTGCACATCTCTTTCCTTTTGGTGAGAAACAACAAAGGTCGGACCCTCATCGAGGACTCTTCTGTATCCCCCGTTCCATCCACTGAATGGCCTCTTCTGACCAGTTGTTTGTACAAGCCATGGTCCAGGAAGGAAGGACTGTCCCTGTCCACATTTCCTCGTGTGCAAACAGGGCTTGAGGGGTAAAGACAAGAAAATGGTTTTTTCTCACTATTGTAGAGGCATCCACGCGTGTTTGTGTTCAGCCATGTTATTGGATCTTGCCTGGACGGACAGGGATTTCTCCCAGGTGGGAGCAGCTTTACTAACCGATGTCTGTTACCCGCTGCCTGGTTCTGTAGCAGGGCACCTACTTGCAAAGGAACTGGCTGCTCAGGGGCCTGCCTAAATGGAGGCACTGTCCCCAAAACACCAACACCTGGCCTCTGGTCACCATGGGAACTATTAGCTAGCTGTCATGCCTTGGGGGCTGACAGGCAAAATGCCAGAGTTGATTCTCATACCAGCTCTGCAGCTAAGAGAAGGCTACGTAGAGAGGTGGTTAGGAGCGGGCCTGGGGGCAGTCAGCTGAGTTTGCATCCCAACTTCCTGGCCATGTGACCTCAAGCAACTTGTAGCCTCTCTGAAGCTGTCTACTCACCTTTAACATGGATACACCCTACTTCATCGATTCTAAGATGCACACATTTCTGCCTTGTGACTTCTCTGAAATTGAGATGCATCTTTCAGTCAGTGGCGTCTCATAGTTGCTGTCACCCAACTGGTATACCTGATGGAGTCATGGGAAACCTGTGGACACCTGCTAAGACCAAGATGGCACCACATCCCTGCATCTTAGATTTGATGAAATGTGGTAAATAATGAGAGGCATGTGTGAGCTAATGCTGGGGACGTGCTTAGCACCGCTCTTAGGCCCCCAAAAGTGGTCATCGGTAAGGGCTTCCCTTTTCTGCATATTTAGTGGGGCCTCTAAGATGATTGGGACAGTGCCCCTGAAGAACTTGGAGCCACATAGGGAGATGACCTGTATCCCTAGGGGAGAACAGGGCAGCTAAGACCTGAGAATATTTGTAGAAGGTTTAGGTTAGGGGAAGTCCACAGTGTAGGTGCTGTCTGAGGTGACTCTCAAAGGATGGGTAGCATTTGAACATGGAGATGGGGAAAGGGTGGATTCCAGGAGGGAATGGCAGCACAGGCAAAAGCCTGGAAGGTGGGGGAAGGCCTTGTCAGGGTGCTTCGTGTGTGGCTGTGTGCTTGCTGACCTGCCTGTGCATAGCCCCTGCTGCTTTGCTTCATAGGGATGCTGGGCTTGGGCCACCTGCCTCCCCAGTCTATGGCAGAGGACCTGGGCTATGTGAGTTGTCCTGTCCTGGGCAGTCACAGAGGTAGATAAATGTCTCATAACGTTAGGACGTTGAGTGCTCAGGGTCACTGCAGTGGGCTGTGGTAACGGATGGTAAAGCCAGCCTGTGAAGACAGGCTTGGCTCCTCATAGATAGCGGCATATCTGGGGGCTGAGGCTCATTGCTCACACAGCTAGCTGCAATTAGGAACACATTAACAAAGGTTTACCCTCAACCGATCTACAAATTATCTGGAGTGAACTAAGGGGTTCAGATAGGCTGATTTCATTAAATAGTCTCAGTAGTGTTTAAAGACACCCTGCATTTCCAGGATGCATGGAGTGCCATTGTCCATGGGAGGTGGCAGTCAGTGGGAATGGCCTGTGGGCGCAGGCTCAGGCTGTATTCAGCAGCCCTGGAGGAAGCCATGGCCTGCATGTATCTGTGAGCCCTGCAAAGATGTCAGATCTGGGGATGGGTCATGTGTAGTTATTGCCTGGGAAAATTCTCCAGGAGTGAACATGGTTAAGGCTCTTGGTCTCTGCTCACCTAATGGGTGGGCCAGATAGCACCCCACCTCTGCCCAGTGAGCTGGGACCAGGCTGCAGTCTGACCTTTGCCAAAGTAAGAGACAAAACTAGTCTCTGGTTTGAACTTGCCTTTCTTTGTGTACCTGTGCGGGTGAACATTCACGTTATATCTATTAGCCATTCTATGGAATTCATGTCCTTCACAGTCTCTTAATGGGGTTTCTAACCTTCCCCCAATTTTGTAAGGCTCTGTAAGAGCTCTTTATAGACCAAAAACAAACCTTTATCAAATATTACAAACCCCTTTTCTCATTTCATTTGACACTAATTTATCTTCATTTTTAAAAAATTTGTCTATAGAACTTTATGCTCAGATACTCTGCCTACCCTGAGATGAGATTAAGCAGTCATTTACTCTCTTGAGGTTTTTTGAGATTTCAGTTTTAACATTTCCTTCTCTAATCTTTGTGGCTGGGTTTTGGGGTCTGGCTAGCCCCTGGCCGTGCTGATAGCCCTAAGGGCCCAGCCCTCTTTGTTGAACAGCTGCTCTCCCCACCCCGCCCACCCCACTGCCTCCCTGGTCTCTCCAGGAATCATGTTCGTGCAGGAGGAGGCCCTGGCCAGCAGCCTTTCATCCACTGACAGTCTGACTCCAGAAGACCGGCCCATTGCCCGGGGATGCTCTGATTCCTTGGAGTCTATCCCTGCAGGACAGGTAATGCCCTTCTGCTTCTAGGGACTGTTAACCTCTATAGTCAAACTCTTCTGCCTGAGGTTGTCTGCAGTAGGAAGTAGCTTAGCTGGAGCTGCTACAGATCCTCCCAGGGTTTGGTGTACTCTGCTTTGCACACATGGTCTTTCTTTTGGACATGTGTCTCTAGTTAAGAATTGGCAAATCTACCGTTTAAGGATTTGTGTTCAGCCCTCCCTCCCTTGCCGCCGCCAGCCCCCCTTTCTCTACCCTCCTCCCCTCTCTTCCCTTCCCCTCCCCCTCTTCTCTTCCTCTCTTCTCTCTTCTCTCCTCCCCCTTTCCCCCTCTCCCTCTATCAGTGAGAACAAGCAGTTCTCTCTCACTGGACCCTGGGGGGCAGATGGAGGACAGATGATCATTGAGTCCCCATGAGCAGACTTCCCTGGGGAAGGCAGTTCTGAAGGCCCTTGGTGGGGGAACCCCATCAGGAAGAGTTTCTCTTCCACTGCCTGCCACCCTGGAGCCATTCTGCCTTTCTCACATGTCACCCTAGTGGTCTGGGACATAGTATGACTCCAGCACCTCCTCTGTGGCTGCTGCTAGGGGTTCCAGAGCCCCTTCCTGTGTCGTGGGAGAAGGAAGGAAAGCAAGAGTGGCCCATTTGCTGTGTGCCTGGACTTCCCTCCAGCCCCATCTGTGCAGCAGCACTGGGTCATGGCCATGTGACACTGGGATGGTTTTCAGACACTGGTTGCTTTGTTCCCAGCACTCTATAGCACTCTTGTCACCCTCCCCAGGGTCACACAGCAAGAGGTTCCCTAGCCCTCGGTCTTACCCCCTACACAGAGACTGTTGAACCTTGTTAGGGCTGTTCTACCTCTATTCATTGTATGCACTGCTGGCTAGCTCGAGCTGGACCAAATTGGTAGACTGTCCACCTGGACCCTTGGGTGGCAGAAGGAGCCCTTGGACACTACATCCCTAGAGAGTGGCAAGAGGCCTTGGCCCCAGGTTGGAAGGGTGGGTTATAGTCAGGCAGATGAGGTGGGAATGCTAGCTCTGCTGTGTCCTGGCAGGATAATGCAGCTCCAGGCCCCAGAGTGGATCATGGGAATGGTGAGATGCCTCCTTAAGGGGGTAAGGGAGGGCACAGTGGCTGGCTCAGGGTCTGGCACCTAGTGAGAGCCAGGGCTGACTGCAGCGGGTGGGGGCTGACTGTGTTTCCTTCTCCATCAGCCAACTTCTGATGAGTTAAGAGACGTGCCTGGAGCTGTTGGCGGTGCCAGGTAAGGAAGAGATGGGAACGGCATTCTGAGCCTGGTTGCATGCGCTCTGCAGCAGGCTAGTAGTGACCAGTTCAATTCTGTTACTAGTCTGTTCACAGAAGTCCCACGGTACTATTTTCTTCCTTTAAATAAACACAGATGAGATAAACTCTTTAGTCCATTTCCAAATTTGAATCCCTAAACCCCTCATGACACAAGGGATTGGGAGATCAAGGCTTGTTTGGTCCATAGCCTGTTTTTCATTTTTTTGTTTTTTGGAGTTTTTGAGACAGTCTCACTATGTCACCCTCGGTAGAGTACCATAGCGTCACAGCTCACAGCAACCTCAAACTCTTGGGCTTAAGTGATTCTCTTGCCTCAGCCTCCTAACTAGCTGGGACTGCAGGCACCCACCACAATGCCTGGCTATTTTTTGTTGCAGTTGTCGATTTTTAGCTGGCCTGGGCCAGGATCAAACCCACCACCCTCGGTGTATGTGGCCAACACTGTAACCACTGTGCTATAGGTGCCAAACCCCACAGCCTGTTTTGTACATTCTGTGAGCTAAGAAAGACAGCTGTGTTCTTAAAGGCTTTTTTTTTTTTTTTGAGACAGAGTCTCACTGTGTTGTCCTTGGTAGAGTGCTGTGGTGTCATAGCTCACAGCAGCTTCAAACTCTTTGGGCTCAAGCAATTCTCTTGTCTCAGTCTCCCAAGTAGCTGGGACTACAGGCACCCGCCATAATGCCCAGCTATTTTTAGAGAGGAGGTCTTGCTCTTGCCCAGGCTGGTCTCAAACCTGTGAGCTCAGGCAATCCACCCACCTCCCACAGTGCTGGGATTACAGGCATGAGCCACTGCACTCCTTAAAATCTGTTTAAAAAAGATCACATGCATAAGAGTGGCCCACAAATTCTAAAATCCTACTCTCTGACCCTTTACAGAAGTTTCCCAACTCTCGTCCTACATACGAGGGCTGCAGTGGCCAAAAAGAGCTAGGATTGATTGATTTTGATTTTGATTTATATTTGAGACAGAGTCTCACTCTGTCTCCCTGGGTAGAGCACTGTGGTGTCAAGCTCACAGCAACCTCAAACTCTTAGACTTGAGCAATCCTCTTGCCTCAGCCTCCCAAGTAGCTGGGACTACAGTGCCTACCACAATACCCAGCTGGTTCTATTTTTTGCAGAGATGGGGTCTCTCTCTTGCTCAGTCTGGTCTTGAACTCCTGAGGTTAAGCAATTCACCTGCCTTGGCCTCCCAGAGTGCTAAGATTATAGGTATAAGCCACCGGACCTGGCCAAGAAGAGCTAGAATTTAAAAGCCAAAGTCCTAAGGCCTACCCAGCCCACTTCCCTGTCCTAAAGGCCACTGGGCGCCCCTGAAGGGAAACTTTATTGCAAGCATGCTCCACCAGGGCTCATGGCAGTGTGTGAATAAGAGATCTTGGGGGGGCACTTCTGTAGTAGGAACGAGTGTGGTCTGTGCAGTGTGACACTAGGACAGTTTGCAGAGTCCTCATCTGCCCCTAATACTCCCCAGCACTCTCCCCTCACTCCCCAGGGTCACAGAGTAAGAGGGTCCCAAGCCCAGAGCAGAGCTGCACTGGGTGCCTGTGGCCCAAGCCCCTGGAAGCATGGGACCCCAGCCTTGCTGTGGTCAGTGCTTTGGCTCCCCACCAGGACCCTTGTCCCAGAAGTAGGCTCAGCTGTGTAGGAGGTTTGGAGACCCGCAGGTTGGTTCCCTGGGGCAAGGTAAAGCAGCAGGCTCTGGACGTGGGAGGCAGGACTGTCCTCACCCAGCCTGACCCTGCACTGGCCTCTCCTATGCAGCCCGGAGCATGCAGAGCCAGAGGTCCAGGTGGTTCCCGGATCTGGCCAGATCATCTTCCTGCCCTTTACCTGCATTGGCTACACGGCCACCAACCAGGACTTCATCCAGCGCCTGAGCACGCTGATCCGGCAGGCCATTGAACGGCAGCTGCCCGCCTGGATCGAGGCCGCTAACCAGCGGGAGGAGGGCCAGGCCAGACAGAGAGAGGACGATGATGAGGATGAGGAAGAGGATGTTGCTGAGAACCGCTACTTTGAGATGGGGCCCCCAGACACAGAGGAAGAGGAAGAAGGAGGCCGGGGAGAGGAAGAGGAGGAAGAAGAGGATGAAGAGGCCGAGGAGGAGCGCCTAGCCCTGGAGTGGGCCCTGGGTGCTGATGAGGACTTCCTGCTGGAGCACATCCGCATCCTCAAGGTGCTATGGTGCTTCCTGATCCACGTGCAGGGCAGCATCCGCCAGTTTGCTGCCTGCCTCGTACTCACCGATTTCGGCATTGCCGTCTTCGAGATCCCACACCAGGAGTCTCGGGGCAGCAGCCAGCACATCCTCTCATCCCTGCGCTTTGTCTTCTGTTTCCCGCATGGTGACCTCACAGAGTTCGGCTTCCTCATGCCGGAGCTGTGCCTGGTGCTGAAGGTGCGGCACAGCGAGAACACGCTCTTCATCATCTCGGATGCCGCAAACCTGCATGGCTTCCACGTGGACCTGCGCTCATGTTTCGCCCCACAACACATGGCCATGCTGTGCAGCCCCATCCTCTATGGCAGCCACACCAGCCTACAAGAGTTCCTGCGCCAGCTGCTGACCTTCTACAAAGTGGCTGGCGGCTGCCAGGAGCGCAGCCAGGGCTGCTTCCCCGTCTACCTGGTCTACAGTGACAAGCGCATGGTGCAGACGGCCGCTGGAGACTACTCCGGTAACATCGAGTGGGCCAGCTGCACGCTCTGCTCAGCTGTGAGACGCTCGTGCTGTGCGCCCTCCGAGGCAGTCAAGTCTGCTGCCATCCCCTACTGGCTATTGCTCACACCCCAGCACCTCAACGTCATCAAGGCTGACTTCAACCCCATGCCCAACCGTGGTACCCACAACTGTCGCAACCGCAACAGCTTCAAGCTCAGCCGTGTGCCACTCTCCACTGTGCTGCTGGACCCCACACGCAGCTGCACCCAGCCTCGGGGTGCCTTTGCCGATGGCCATGTGCTTGAGCTGCTCGTGGGCTACCGTTTTGTCACTGCCATCTTCGTGCTGCCCCATGAGAAGTTCCACTTCCTGCGCATCTACAACCAGCTGAGGGCCTCGCTGCAGGACCTGAAGACCGTGGTCATTGCCAAGACCCCTGCAACTGGGGCCATCCCTCAGAGACCCCTTGTAGACGGCCAGCCTGCCGAGGGTAGGGCCAGGTGAGACCGAGCACAGCTCTTGGGGACCAGGGGGACATGGGTTGGCATGTCATGATCTCTAAGCAGCAGCAGTTGGTGGTTGCCCCGGGGTTGGGCAGCTCTCTCAGGTCCACTGTCCTGGTCCCCAGTTCCTGCCCATCCTCAACATCGTCACTTCAGGCTGGGTACCAGGCCGCTTGTTCATTATCTCCCAGCACTGTAGAAGAGGCCTAGGAAAGGTCTCCTCTCACAAAACCTGTTGGTTCCTGCCACCCATGCACAACAGGCCAGGGGTGCTGCAGCACACTGAGGCCAAGAAAGCTGTTACCCTGACCATCTTGTTCCACTTGGCCCAAGCATGGCCTCTCAGTACCCCCCACTACTTCCACAGGGGCCACAGTCCCTCTGGCTGGTTCTGTGGTCTGGGAGCTGCTCTAAGTCTCAGCTGCTTCTCAGACCTAGCTCCCATTCTTTTTTCTTTTCCTTTTTTTTTTTCTTGAAACAGAGTTTCACTTTGTCACCCTCTATAGTAGAGTGCTATGGTGTCATAGCTCACAGCAACCTCAAACTCTTGGTCTCAAGCAATCCTCTTGCCTCAGCCTCCCAAATAGCAGGGACTATAGGTACCCACCACAACACTTGGCTATTTTTAGAGACAGGATCACACTCTTGCTCAGGCTGGTCTCGAACTCCTGAGCTCAGGCAATCCATCTGCCTTGGCCTCCCAGCATGCTAGGATTACAAGCATGAGCCACCGTGCCAGGCCTACCCAGCTCCCATTCTTGCCCTGCTAGGAGCCACAGATCCCTTCTCAGGAAGGACCAGGTTGTATGGTCTCAGACGAGCCTTACTGGCTGAGAGTAGCAAGGTCTGAGTGTCTAATCTGGGTGAGTCATCTCCTCTTCTAGAGGAGACTGAGGTACAGAAAAGGAAGGAAATGGCATCCCTGTCCCTCCTCTTTCCTTGCTACCCACGCCACTGCTGGGCGTGGCTTCCCTTGGACTCCTTTTTCCCTCAGGACCTCCTGAGGGTGGGTAGTAGAGGGACCTCTGAGGGAGTCCCCCAGCTTACCCATACCTGGGGCTCAAGGGGGACCTTGTGCCTGTGTGGGCACTCCTGTCTCTCATTGCTGGCTCCCTGGCTTCAGATATACAGAGACTTCCCCCTCACCTGAGGAAGAAAGCCCTTCATTGGTCTGCCCTCCTGTCTCCTGAGACAAAGCGTTAATCTTATTTTCTTCTACCCTGGTAGACAACGGAGACCTTGCCTCTCTTCAGTATCTTGTGAGGTCTACCTTCTCCCTCTAACCAGCCCTCCATACAGCTCAGAGGGCTTCTGGCCTTTTCTAGGCTGAGTCTGGTGCCCCTCTTATTCCAGCTCAAGAACCCCCCCCTCCATGCTTCCAAGTGCTAGAGAGCAGTACATGCCAGTGGGGGCCCTGCCTGGCCATTTTCTCATCTCCCCTCGTCTGGCTTCAGTGCTAGGCACTTTGTCTCCATTTACCTGCCAACCCCAAGGACCTGGGGCTGGAACCTGCCCTGTGCATGCAGAAACCAGGCACCCCACTTCCCCCCAGCATATCCATCCCTGCCCCAGGATGGCAGGACAACCAGAGGCTTCTTGGGGTATTTAGCCAAGTGTAGGGTCAGAACCACAAGGATCTCGCAACAGCTGGGCTGGATCCAGTTAAGAGGACATCATCCAGAGGAACCCTGGACATGGCTGTGTCAGCTTTGTTGCAGGGAACCCCCTCAACCTCCATGAACTTTAAGGTTCTGAGCATTTTTTTTTTTTTTTT